GCTCAGATAGAAACAGACTGAACAGGCGTGGCTTGTTTAGAAGGGCTGCAGGAGAAAAGCTCACCTATCTAAAAACATGACAGGGTGACTCATCGCCAGAGTCCGCCCCATTCTCTCTCGGGCCAATACGGAGACGCTGATGCTTTTATCACCAGTAGGATAGACTACTGCAATGCCCTGCTTTCTGGTCTTCCTAACAAGAGCATCTCAGGCTCACAACTTCTACAAAATTCGGCAGCACGTGTCCTGATGAAGACCAGGAGGCGGGAACACATGACACCAGTTTTAGAATCATTGCATTGGCTCCCCGTATGTTTCAGGATCAATTTTAAGGTTCTTCTAATGGTTTTTAAGTGTCTTAACGGTCTTGGGCCTTCTTATCTATCAGAACTGCTTTTACCATATGAACCCTCACGGCCTCTGCGCTCCTCTGGCAGGCGTCTCCTGGTCATCCCTAAAGTTAGGACACAAACTCACGGCGAGGCGTCCTTCCAGTGTTATGGCCCTCGCCTCTGGAACGAGCTGCCAGAGGACCTCAGGGCCGCAGAGAACGTTCATGTTTTTAAGTCCAGGCTCTAGACCCGTCTTTTTAGGTTAGCTTTTATCTAAATATTTTCTACAGCTTTATTTCACGTTTTACATGATTATATTTTATTACTTGCTTTGCATGCTCTATATAATTATATTTTAGCACAGTTTTATTATTAAATTATTATTTTACTGTCTATATCATTTTATTTATTACTTATTTTCTAATTTTTGTCATTTACATTAGCTCTTTTATTACATTTTTACTCATTTTAATCCAGTGTTTCCTCTGTGGGGGCCCTCTGCCCCGGGAGCGGTGGTCGACTGTAGCTTCCTGGGCGCTCTATAGGTGGGGGTCTATGCCCCCCCTCCACTGAGCGCCCTGACTTAGTGTGGAAGACCTGATGCTGCCGGGGCAGACGGCTCCTCTGATGGCGTTTCCTTGCGTTACCATACTTGGCTCATCTGGACTCAGACGAATATAATTTTTACTTGTGTGTGTGTGTGAGTCTGTGTGTGTGTGTGTGTGTGTGTGTGTGTGTGTGTGTGTGTGTGTGTGTGTGTGTGTGATTGCATATGTTTGTTAATGTTTTTAACCTGTTATGGGAATCTGGGGTCATTTTGTAAAGCACTTTGAATCACACTTTGTTTGAAAAGCGCTTTAGAAATAAAATTTGATTGATTGATTGATTTATGTCTGCAAGGCTTCATCTGAATGATCCACAAACCTTCTAGATCAGTGGTTCCTAACCTGGGGGTCCCGACCCCCACAAGGGGGCGCCGAATCCTCTCAGCGGGTCGCCCGGACCTCTCCACTTTAAGGGGTTAAAACTTCATTTATTACTTGTTTATAGCCTACATTTTGCTCACATTTTTTTCATGAGTGAAAAGTTTACTGATATTAAGACAGGAAATAATTAGTACAGAAAAAGTAACACACTTTTAAGAACATTTTGGTCAGCTCACTGTTTTATTTTCAAGTGTCAAAAGTTCATTAAAGATAGGACTGGTTGATTAATCACAGCCTTTACAGTAAATAATCTAGTATAAACAGTAATATACACATTTAAGTACATTTTGCTCAGTGTATTTTTTATGTGTCAAACATTTATTGAAAGGAATGATTGATTTATCAGTGTTTATAAGAAACAATGTGTTCAGAAAAGTAATACAAGCTGTCAAGCACATTATGCTCTGTTTGGTTTTGTTAATGACTTTGTTCTGTACTGGAGCCTACTATTACTGTTATCTATTGAATCAAAGCATATTAAAATGTGCTTGAACAATTTTATCATTTCTTAATAATGTTTGTACTGGAAGAGAGAATGGGAGGGGGGGTCGTCAAAAATTTGACTGGTAAAAAAACGGGGTCCCTCGGGAAAAAGGTTGGGAACCACTGCTCTAGAACAACGTTCTTAGTTTATTTGACAGACCAGACCAGAGACGTTTACTCATATTGCACAGCACCTTGTCTGGTGAAACCACACGGTGGTGGAGGGCTGACTGGACCATGTAGACCAGAGTGAGTCCATCTGTCTGACAGCTGAGGTTTGGACCAAACTGTGGCATAAACCAGAACCACGACCCAAACACAGCAGCAGCTCCACACCAGAACTACAGTTTTGAGTAACAGCAGGGTGGCGTTGGTTTTTCTTACACAGCTTTTGATCTCATTGGATGAATACGGACTTGGTGGAATATGTTGTGCTTCATTCATGTTAGACTCCTTTTAGAACCTGACTATTTTGTTCTTAAATGTAAAAACCCAACAGATGAGAAGGTGGAGCTTCTCCAACAGCAGCTTTGTTACTAAAACTCAACTTTTACCACGCGTGTTCCCAGCAGCTGTGTTCAGTCAGCCAGGGCAGGCATTTGCTTGGGGTCTCCAGGCCACAAGGTGGCCCCAGAGAAGCAACAAGGACGATATGCTCCATGTGACTTTTAGTGCGAGAAATAAATCCCCAACAGCCCGTCCGCTTAGTCATTTTTATTCATGTCACAGACAGGTGGGCTGGCAGACAAAATATGCAGATCAAAATTATTTTAGCTCAGCTAAAACGTCAGATAATGTGCTCCCTTCGTGTGGACTTTAGTCCAGGTTCAGACCCTGGACTAAGGCTTTAACGCGGCTTTACAAAACATTTTAAGAAGATGAACACATGCAAAGTTAAACTGGTGCATATAGGTGGATGAGAATAACAGAAATGGGTTTCTATGTGGCTCAGAGATGAATGACACTCTAGGTTGGTGATTTCATAACATTCCACAGAAAGAAGAAGAAATGGAGCAAGCCACAAGTCATCAGCAGGTAGGAGGCTACGGCAGTCCCAACAGAAAAGAGCAGAGCGTTCAGTCAAAATCAGGGATAAAGTTTGCCTCGCTGGAAGTTTATTCAGGGATGAGTGTTAGTGAAACACAACTTGATCATCAGATCTGCAGGAAATAACAGAGCAGAGTCACCGTGACAACGTGGAGACGGTTACCATCATAAAGCACAAATCCCCAGAGAGGAGGAGCGAGAGGCTGCTACATGGAAAATGCTGCGATAGATCCAACAACTTAGTTCTGCATTAGCACTTTAGGGTAAATACTACCTATGAGACAGAATAACAAACAATCAGGAAACAAATCATCTCCACAGCAAATCACGATTAAAGTGCAACTGAGATGTGATCAGATCCACAACAGGGTGCTACAGTGGCTGGGGAGGCGTGTGGACATGTGTCTTCAGGTGGGAGCAAGACATGGAGGCGTTTAGGCCTCGTCGCAGATCACCGTCTCCACCACAAACGTGTTCTCAAAGTGGCGAATGTGGTGGCAGGCCTTTGCCTCTCGTTTGTTGATGCCTGTGAAGAGAACGGGAGGATTAGCGCCGACCGCTGACTCAGAGGTTTCATTCCTCCTCTCATGGTCACAAACTCACGCCTGCGGGTGAGCCGGCGGGTCAGGCGGTACGTGTCCTTTCCTTTGCATAGGCGGTAGATGAAAGGCCCCAGCTGACGCATGTTGTGTACTTTACCAGTCACCACCATCTCTTCATGAATGACGTAGGTCTGAGGCAGGTAAGTTCCTTTCTGAAAGAAACAACAAGCTCAGAGACACACTTTGGCAGGTTTTGGTTCCCGAAACGTTTCAGATCAGACGAAAATTGCCTGAGGTGCCGATCACATGGAGACCGTGTTCTAAAGTCTCTGAAACACGCTAAAACAACCTAAACACAACAGTAGACACGCCATCGTGGACTGGATACGTGACTGTAATGATGGCAGGATACCTCAGAATAGCGCTACGTCCTCTGTTGTTCTGGCAGGGAGTTGTTTTGCGCATATATATTAGCCACTAGATGGTGCTGTCTGCCAACAATGACTCCAGATTGTAGCTGGTGCATTTCTGCAGGACTGCAAATGAGCATCTGTTAAGGGGGAGATCGTTCAGACCTAAGCTGTCCTAGCCCATCTCTATCCTGCCTTTCCTCTCTAGAGTCATTGAAAAGTTAGTCCTAGCTCACCATCTGGAATCGAGCAGCATTATTACCCCATACAGTCCGGCTTCAGAACAGGCCATGGATGCGTCTCTGCAACACTTTAAGTGCTAAATGACATCGCATGTGCCTTTGAAAATAAGGAATATTGTGTGGCTGGTTGTTGACTTGACTAAAGCCTTTGACTCTGTAGGCCAGGGGTGTCAAACAAACTCACACGGGGCCGAAATGAAAATTTGAGACGGAGTCGAGGGCCAAACTTAATATTTTTTTAAAAAGTGACGGCAAATTTGCACATTTTCTTAATCAACATATCAGCATTTTATAAATCTATTCAGGATTTATGTTTTCTTGTTTATTCATTTTTCTTATTTTTTATTCTCCTTTTTTCTCCTGTAATACGTGTCATCGCTGCTGTGACGTCTAGCTTTCCCCACTGAGGAACAATAAAGGGATTTTCTATTCTATTCATCTATCTGCAGCCTTTCCACTTCCTGTTTACTGTAGGTTAAATCTTTTCTCACGGGCCAACAACAGAATAAAAATATCATTTTAACTTAAATGAAAATGCAACATCTCACCGGTTAACTTTCATGTTTTGGAGCAGAAAAAGAGCAGAAAACCAACATATTTAAAGCTCAGTTTGCTCCACTGGTTTACTGTGATGCTCACCTGTTCCAGCCAGATACCTGCACACCTGAACACATTACTGAGCGGTTAAAATCTCCGTTTCTGGGCTTCAACGTCGGTCAGTAGCTGAGTAAACTCGGCGCTGAGAGAGAGGAGTGTTTAGTTTGTCCGAGACAGCGGAGCTGCAGACGCTGGAAAAAAACACAAAGGAGGGGGCGCTTCGGCTCCGCGCTAACGCCACAAAGCATCGTGGGAGTTGCAGTCTTTTGTGGTAAAATCAGCCAGCGGGTCAGTTTTAATATATTTTTTATATTTATCTCGCGGGCCACATAAAAATGCTCCACGGGCCAACTGTGGCCCGCGGGCCTTGTGTCTGACACATGTGCTGTAGACCATAACATCTTACTTAGCCGGCTCAAACATAAAGGACTTTCTCAGGCATCCGTGGCATGGTTCAGAAGTTATACCTTAGACCACATATGTCAGAGTCAAGGCCCGCGGGCCAGATGCGGCCCGCGGCGCATTTTTATGTGGCCCACGAGATAAATATCAAAAATATATTAAAACTGGCCCGCTGGCCGATTTTACTGCAAAGACTACAACTCCCATGATGCTTTGCGGCGTCAGCGCGGAGCTGAACCGCCCCCTCCTTTGTGTTTTTTCAGCGCCGAGGCAGTCAGAAGTAGGTGGGTCTCTGCAGCTCCGCTGTCTCGGACAAACTAAACACTCCTCTCTCTCAGCGCCGAGTTCACTCAGCTATTTTCTGACGTTGAAGGCCAGAAACGGAGATTCTAGCTGCTCAGTAATGTGTTCACGACTGAAAGAGAAAGTTTTCCAACTAACTTCCAGACAGAGCCGATATAACTCCAGCGAGCAGCGACACGCTCAAACCAGCACGACTCTGTGGTTGTGTTTCCTCCCCGACACACAACAACGCGGTCAAGCTGCTCAGACATGTTCATCAGCACAAACCTATGTGAGCACCTGTTGTCATCTAATGTTGTCATTATTGTGATGAAGATGAACAAAACAACAGGAGTCTCCTCCTCAGCTCAGATCAACCCCATGATGCAGGTATCTGGCTGGAACAGGTGAGCATCACAGTAAACCAGTGGAGCAAACTGAGCTTTAAATATGTTGGTTTTATGCTCTTTTTCTGCTCCAAAACATGAAAGTTAACAGGTGAGATGTTGCATTTTCATTTAAGATAAAATGATATTTTATTTTGTTGTTGGCCCGTGAGAAAAGATTTAACCTACAGTAAACAGGAAGTGGAAAGGCTGCAGATAGATGAATAGAATAGAAAATCCCTTTATTGTTCCTCAGTGGGGAAAGCTAGACGTCACAGCAGCGATGACACGTATTACAGGAGAAAAAAGGAGAATAAAAAATAAGAAAAATGAATAAACAACAAGAAAACATAAATCCTGAATAGATTTTAAAAATACTGATTATACCACAAGTAATGAATACCACTGATGCCTTTTATTTAAAACGGACTTGCTCGTGTGTCATTTGGTTATTCCACATTCAGTGTTAATGCAGAAATATGTTTGTTTCCAAATTTAAAGGTTCAAAATTGCATTTATGTTGATAAAGAAAATGTGCACATTTGCCGTCACTTTTTCAAAAATATTAAGTTTGGCCCTCGACTCCGTCCCAGAGTTTCATTTCGGCCCCGTGTGAGTTTGACACCCCTGCCTTAGACCGTACACAAACAGAGAGAACAGAGGGTTACCAATCTGCTCCTCTACCTCCATCTATAGGCGTAGCTCAAGGGTCGATACTGGGCCCAGTGTTATTCAAACTCTATAATTTTACATGGGTTAGGGTTAGGTTTCATGCTGTTGACAGTCCTTATAAACATGTATATGCAGATGACAATGTTTTATATTCATGCAGCTGTTCCTTGAATACAGCTTTGTCCTCCTTACAGCACAATTTTAATAGTCTTCAACGTGCCTTCTCCAGCCTTCATCTTCATTTAATCACAAGAAAAACAAAGTTCATGATCTTCAACCGTAACTTTCCACCCTAGTGTTGTTTTCCGGGATGGTACAGAACTACATCTTGCCAGTTCTTATAAGTATCTGGGTATCTGGCTTGGCAGCACACTTTCATTTACTATTCACATTAATTCATTACTTTCTAAAGTCAAGTCAAGAATTGGGTTTCTATAGCAACAAGTCATTCTTTTCTCATTCTGCAAAGCAAACCTTGGTCGAAACGACAATTCTTCCATCTTAGATTACGATGACATCATTTATAGAACTGCTTCCAAAAAACTTCTTCATAAATTCGATGTCATTTATCACTCAGCGATCCGTTTCATCACTGGTGCCCCTTTCACTACTCATCATTGTGATCTGTACTCACTCGTTAACTGGCCATCACTCCATTCCTGCAGGTTGTTCCATTGGTATCAGTTCATATACAAAACAATGATCGGTAGAACCGTCAAATCTTCGCTCATTACTCATCACTTCCAACAACCAGTACCATTTACGTTCCAGTAACTTAATCTCTATGGTTATTCCCAAAGCTCGCACCTCCTTTGGCCGCTCCTCATTCCAGTTTGCTGCTTCCAACGTCTGGAATGAGCTGCAAAAGTCCCTAAAGCTCACTACCTACATTCCATTATCGACCCTCAATAATTCATTGCAATCAATAGTTTCTGATGAACGTGGTTCTGAGTTCTTAAAAACTGTTTTAAGTCTGTTTTGATTTCTTGTACATACAGGTGCTGGCCAGTAAATTAGAATATCATCAAAAGGTTGAAAATATTTCAGTAATTCCATTCAAAACGTGAAACTTGTACATTATATTCATGCAATGCACACAGACCAATGTATTTCCAATGTTCATTACGTTTAATTTTGATATTTATAGGTGACAACCAATGAAAACATCAAATCTGGTATCTCAGAAAATTAGAATATTCTAAAGGCCAATGAAAAAATGTTTGTTTCTCTAATGTTGGCCAACTGAAAAGAATGAACATGAAAAGAATGTGCATGTATAGCACTCAATACTTAGTCGGGGCTCCTTTTGCCTCAATAACTGCAGTAATGCGGCGTGGCATGGACTCGATCAGTCTGTGGCACTGCTCAGGTGTTATGAGAGCCCAGGTTGCTCTGATAGTCGTCTTCAGCTCCTCTGCATTGTTGGGTCTAGCGTATTGCATCCTCCGCTTCACAATACCCCATAGATTTTCTATGGGGTTAAGGTCAGGCGAGTTTGCTGGCCAATCAAGGACAGGGATACCATGGTCCTTGAACCAGGTGCTGGTGGTTTTGGCACTGTGTGCAGGTGCCAAGTCCTGTTGAAAGGTGAAGTCTGCATCCCCATAAAGTTGGTCAGCAGCAGGAAGCATGAAGTGCTCTAAAACTTCCTGGTAGACGGCTGCATTGACCCTGGACCTCAGGAAACAGAGTGGGCCAACACCGGCAGATGACATGGCACCCCACACCATCACTGACGGTGGAAACTTTACACTGGACCTCATGCAACGTGGATTATGTGCTTCTCCGCTCTTCCTCCAGACTCTGGGTCCTTGATTTCCAAAGGAAATGCAGAACTTGCTTTCATCAGAAAACATAACTTTGGACCACTCAGCATCAGTCCAGTCCTTTTTGTCCTTGGCCCAGGCGAGACGCTTCTTGCGCTGTTTCTTATTCAAGAGTGGCTTGACACACGGAATGCGACACCTGAATCCCATGTCTTTCATGAGTCTCCTCGTGGTGGTTCTTGAAGCGCTGACTCCAGCTGCAGTCCACTCTTTGTGGATCTCCCCCACATTTTTGAATGGGTTTGTCGTCACAATTCTCTGCAGGGTGCGGTTATCCCTAGAGCTTGTACACTTTTTTCTACCACATTTTTTCCGTCCCTTCGCCTGTCTGTTAATGTGCTTGGACACAGAGCTCTGCGAACAGCCAGCTTCTTTAGCAATCACCTTTTGTGTCTTGCCCTCCTTGTGCAAGGTGTCAATGATTGTCTTTTGGACAGCTGTTAAGTCAGAAGTCTTCCCCATGATTGTGGTGCCTTCAAAACAAGACTGAGGGACCTTTTAAAGGCCTTTGCAGGTGTTTTGAGTAAATCAGCTGATTAGAGTGGCAGCAGGTGTCTTCTATATTCAGCCTTTTCAGAATATTCTAATTTTTTGAGATACCAAATTTGGAGTTTTCATTAGTTGTCACTTATGAATATCAAATTTAAATGTAATGAACATTGGAAATACATTGGTCTGTGTGCATTGCATGAATATAATGTACAAGTTTCACGTTTTGAATGGAATTACTGAAATATTTTCAACCTTTTGATGATATTCTAATTTACTGGCCAGCACCTGTATTATATATGAGAACAGTCTTAATGTCTAACTGTTTTATTTTGTATTTTTTTATCTTATCTGTTTTTCTTTGATGTAAATCTAACTGTGCGTCTATTGCTGCTGCCTCTTGGCCAGATCGTCGTCGTAAATGAGAATGGGTTCTCAATCGACTCATCTGGTTAAATAAATAAACTAAATTATCCATGATGAACGGGAAGGGATTCAGGCTAGCCACGTTCGTAAACTAATTTTGGGGCAGTTAAACTGGGATTTTCAAAAGAAAGCCTGGATTAGCTCGCTTTCTGGAACAGCCCCCTGGCCTAGATAGACACTGAAACCCAAATCTGAAGGTTTTGGGTTGGTTCTTCTACCATGGCCCAGTAGGGACACTCCTTAGCGGTTTTAGGCACGGGCAGACAGGGCAGTTGCCCGGGGCGGCAGTTTTTCATGACACAAAAGGGGCGCACAAGCGCTGAGTAAAAAAATAAAAAAGAAAGAAATCTGCGCCGCACCGAGGTTTTCTATTATCTGTCATATGACAGTGTCTGGATTGGAAACAGCAAGTTGGCGCCCCCTGCAGCTGCAGGCGCTCCTGCTGACTGAGAGGGTTCAGGTGCACCGTGTGTGTATGAAGAAGAGGAAGGGGAGGGGTGCGGTGGGGGAATTCACCTCCGCGTCTTCCCCAAATGAAATGAGCGGGTAGGGGCTGAATCAACTGTATTAACATGGCTAAAGTCAATCACATCTTGATGTTCTTCCATTTAACGCACATTTCATTGATAATATCATAAACACAGGCCTATCATTCTTTCAGGTTTTTCTGAATTGTGTGAAATGGCCGAATAAAAAAACGGAAAAACAAAACGATTTTGTGGTCACCCCCCATCAAGGTCAATAGTTTAGTCCTGACTAAAGGAAACTTACGGAGTCAGGAGCCAAACAGAAGAGATGAACATAAAAAGGCTAAAACCACCAGGTGCCCCATTCAGGAAAAAAAAAGAAAAAAGAGGAGAAAGATAAAGGTATGTAGCTCTCATGATGCATGTTTTCAATTTTTTGAACCAGTTAACTGGGATTTTAACGGTTAAATTCGGTCAGCTAATTGCTAACAGAGCTAATAGGGCTGAAATATTTAAACGAATATTCAAATGGTTCGAAAAAAAATCCTTGAATCGTGTTTTTCTGATTCAAACTAGGATTTGTTAAATGCTCGCTGCAGCCTGTGGCCTGCCTGAACAACAACAAACACATGTTGATCATGTTTACATAATAATAAATAAAACAACTCTACAAGCAGAAGAAAACACCCCAGTCACCACTAACTATCCTGTTTATTTATTGCAGATGGCTGCACTGATTATTTTTTTTACATGATTTGTTCTGTAAAAGTTGGCATTTTTGGTAGTCTACAGTTTTTTTTATGTCAGTTTAAATTACAATTTCAGAGGCAATTCTAAAATATTATGGATCATGATAAAGATCTATTGGAGATCTACCCCAACTTTTGGACTGCTCTGCCAGTCACTGTGGCTCAAGCTGAGAGGAGCTTTTCAAAACTTGATCAAGTCATACCTGAGGTCACCTATGTTTCAGGGGCGGCTCACTCACCTGGCTCTGATTAGTATCAATCACTCAGTAGGGGAGCAGATTTCATATGATGACATTATTGATGACTTTGCATCAAGGTTAGGTTTTAATTTTAGTTTGTGTTTTCTGTTCTAAGTGCAATGCTGTAGTGATTATCTTTAGTTTGTTATGTGTGAAATATTTTTGCTATTTAGAATATTTATTATATATTATGTTCATATATTCTTAATATTTAGTTATTGTTTGTTTTAGTATATTTGATTCTATATATTTTGATACAGTATATAATGTATAGTGCTTTACATTCTGACAACTTCATAGTAATTAATGTAAATATGTGCAACTTAGAAAAATGAATGTTCAATAGTCGTTCTAATAAAACATGCCTGTTTGTAGAAAACATGCGTGTGTGTGTGCAGGTGGGGTGGCGGGGGGAGAGTGGCTCAAAGGGGGCCTCGCCCGGGGAGTAATTCCACGTAGAACCGCCACTGGGGACACTAATCTCCTCCCTATCAGACCTCCAGGAAATCCTGCGATTCATCTGCATCGCTGTAGAGGGAGTCTGAAACAAAGCTTTCTCATGAAAGCAATTCTTAAGGCTTCAGCTATTTTACCTTCACATTAATCAGAAGTTCCCAAAGGTTACGTGGAGGCATCACGATGGTGGTGTTGAGCTCAATAACGTAGCATTTGTCCAAAGCGATGTCATGGTAGGCGGTCAGCCCCTAGAGGAGGAGATGAAAGTAAAGAAAAGGAAGATTATGGAGTCTCTCTGCAGAAAATGTGTTGCTTTGAGCCACTGCTTCTGTCTGGTCAGCCACTGAAGACGAAGAGTTGAACTATCAAAGAAAACCTACATATTCTGATGAAACTTTACCACATTTCACTTGATACCTCACAGTTCCTCTGTCTAAAGCACGGGCGTGTGTGCCCTCACCCTGTGGAAGTCGTGGATTATATCTGCAGGGTCGCTGCCTCCAAAGTGAGGCACAGGAACGCTGATCTTCTCATAGTTATCAGACAGGTAGATGCCAACGCTTTCCTCCAGCTCCTGGAGCCCGCGGAGAGGTGCGTACTCGGAGTCTTCATAAAGAACTGTGCACTGAAACCGGTTCTCCTCTGGGATCTGCGCGCACACACACACACACACACACACACAGGTCTAACGCACCATTCGAGCTAAAGAAAGCAGGAGATTGCCGAGACCTTACATGAGGTATGTAGTAGCGGTAGATGTAAATGGAGGCCAGAACCAGACAAGCCATGGAGACCACCAGGCCAAATATCAGGCAGCAGAGGCCATTCAGGGGAGACTTCTTGGGCTGCAAGGGCAGGACCAGCTCATCCTCATCCTGGAGAATACAAACCCCCCTCGTATTAAAAACCATCTCTACAACCAAGAGAAAATAATCTCACACCAGAAATAGAAAGTCATGTTTTTAAAAGGCAGCGCAGGATTATCAGCAGGAGATCTTACGTCTGCAGAGCCCTGGGAGACGGAGGGATGTTGGCCAGCCTGCTGACAACAAACCTGACCAGGACGGCGGAGAGGAACTCGCCAGCCCGCCTCCAGTCTCACAGCCCATCTGCTGGTGCCACGCGCCCCAGCATGTGTGGGCCGAGTGGCACTACACACCGGTAGTCAGCGAGGGCCTCCGTTTACAACTGTAATGAGTAACAGAGAGGCAGCCCAGCTCCTAGAGATGGAGGCAGGTGAGGTTAGGGTTAGCAGGAGACATGACAGCTGTGCTGAGATCCCTTTGATGCAGGAATGCATGAAAAGGTCAGAAATCAGAGTCTCTGACTCAGCGTCATTGGGGCTGGGTCTTCCATGGAGCTAAAGTGTGTGCTCCAACTGTTCTTCGTGAAAGCACGTGGGGACAGCGGGTGAGAACACAACACTGTTCTTCAAGTTGTTCGTTCTTTCATCCCTCTGAAGAGGACAGAGGCTCTTTCGCACCAGCTGGCAGTGTGACACACCATAAGGACCGCCTGTTCTCGGCCCAAATGCAGCTACCTCCTCCTTATCAGCAGACTCCATCTTCAGCAGAGCTCAGCCGTGCAGCACCTATCAAAGGTGATGCAACGATGATGCTGCTGCTGCAAAGTTCAGGACTCCTCCACTCTGCATGGAGCTGGAGAAATAATCCTGCATGAGCAGCAAACCACCGGCCATCTTGTCATCCAGAGCAGCAGAAGCACAGCTCTATCTGCGTCCCAGGCAGAATGGTGTAACCGCCATGCATCACCCCAACAGCTCCTAGTTCAGTAATCCCCCAGCTTAGCAGACCAGGGATGGCGCGTTTGGCAGTTTCTCACCATTTGAGTTAAACCGCAAATAAACAGCAGAGATGTTGTTCCCACAAAGGCAAATGGCGATAAACAAACAAACAAACAAATAAATAAACTGGGAGCTCAAGTGCTGCTTTTGCTCACGTCACCCCTCAGGGACACCGACCTGTCCATTATCTGATTAATCATCGTTTGAACTGGGGCACAGACTCACCGCCGGATGAGGAATCAGGATCTCGGTCTTGTCTCCATCGGTCTCCTTCTCCACTTTCTGTCCCACCACGGGCTGGAAGCTAATCTTCACCATGGTCGGGTGTCCTCCTCACCTCCGCTCCGTTCGGATACCTCAGAACCGGACAGTAAAGGAGCAGCTCACGTAGGACAGGTTGTCTCAGCGCTGCTGTCCTTTTTTCAGCTGCTCGTCTGTTTTTGTCTCCGTCCACCGGAAATGCGCGAGCTGGTTTCAGGAGCTTAAAGGGACAGTCCGCTCATTGTGGCAGTCAGAGGTTCGCGAACGAACCAATTCTTTTGAACGGCTCATAAACATGAACGATGGGAGACGAGTTGCGGCTGGGGGGTTCTCGACGTCCGGTGTCGGTACAGGATCTACTCGGGTGCAGCCGGATCACCTCGGGGTCCTTCGACTGCCAATGACGTCACAAGACTGCAAATCCACTGAGTACGTTTTGGAAAGACATCAGCAGTTTCGTTAATAAATTCTTGTTTAAATGATTTCTTTATAATTGTAATTTGTTAATAAAACACCATATTATCTTTGTTTTGTAAAGAATGTGAAACTGCATAAAACCAACATCGGACTGACAAACAACAAACAGTTCTTATATGTGAAGCCACGTCTGTTTGTATTAATGTGGAGCTCGTCTGTATATTTCCTTAGTTGTTATCTAAATACATTCTTTGACTCAGAATATTGCTTGGTGTCTTTCAATAAAGTTCTTATATTTAATTTTGCCCCATTTCATCGACATCAAGAGCTTTTGAGGGTCACCGTTTATCATTTGCTTATATTTTACATTTGCTTTAGAAATTCAAACATATTTTCTCCAAAAAGTGTTGATCTTTGGACTACAGGACTGTGTTGTCTTGCTTAATCTTATAATAAGCAAACGAGGCGTGAAAACTCCTTTTCAGATCTTTATTTAGCACTAGCCACCTCTCCTGTATCCTCCATACAGTTTCCCTCCATTGTCGTCTAGCCTTCTGGGTAATTGAGTTCTTCCTGAACTATCTCATAACATAACATCTTTCTCCCTATAGAAAAATAATAATGATCTATTAGGAAGCAACGAACATCTTAACTTTACTGACAAAATGACTCCTCCACCTGGAACAAATAAGCATTCAGCTTCTCTCTACACTTTTTTTTTCATTACATCGTAGAGGAATACCTTGCCACATTTTAGTCCTTAACAACTCTCAATTAGTCTCTTAGGTGGCTGAACATTTCATTGGTCTCAGCGGTCTTTCACCCTCTGGTGATGCCATGGTTTTAAAAAGTCTCTCAGCAGCAGGTGACACAGATTCCTGTGTCGGGCCACGTACAGCGTCTTCTGCCCCTCTGTTTGCTGACTCTGAAGATTTCTCCATGTCCTGCTGCCCTGTCTCCTGAGGTTCTGTATCTTTTCCTTCTGGATGTAGCTGAAGGTCTACTCGATTTCTCCTCAGGGACACTCCACCCTCCATCTGGATCCTGTATGAACGTGACGCTACTTCCTCCTTCACCTGACCTTGATGTCTCCAGGTCCCTGTAGTAATGTCTCTGAGACGCACCTTGTCTCCTGGCTTCAGGGAAGGCAGGTGTATCACCTTGCGATCATGCAGCTGTTTTTGTTTCACCTTTTGTCCATCCTTTGCTTCCTTGACTGTATGTGCAGTTTTTGGCGTCAGCAGGTCCTCATTTACTGGTAGGTTGGATCGAATACGCCTCCTCATCAGCATCTGAGCTGGTTACATTCCATTTTTTAAAGGTGTGCTTCTATAGATCAGTAGGCTCTTCTGAAAATCCTCTCTGTCCTCAGCTTTTTTCATTCGTGTTTTTATTATTGTAATAAAAGTAGCCGTGGGCAGCACGGGCAGAATATCTTGCCCTCCAGTCAGAACCTGAACACACCACCAGTAGGCAATGATTTATAAAAGGATATGCTTTATTATGCAATATGCTAAAACACACTAATCAACCCCAATCATAAAACACTATACTAAAATACTGTGGCCAAAGTCTCCCCTCCTAAAATCACAGTCTGGCATGAGTCACACAAGCTGCGGTACTTAGCTGTCACGGATGGTGTGACCCCCCTCCCCGGGGTCTGAGCTTCCAGCACCGTCCAACGCCCCGGGATGTAGCTTGCGAGGACGGCAGGTAACCCACAAGTAAATCCACCAGTAAATCCACTGCCAGAGTCCGTAGCGGCAGATGTCAGCGTGGTCTTGGCACCACCTAAGCCCAGCCCTAGCTGCCTAAAGAAGGCGACCAGCCTTCCCTCCTGACGCTGGAACTCTAAACACCTGCTTAGCTGTCTTCGTCGCCGGCAGCCCTAACGACTGCGAACGACCCCACCCCCCAGAGTCCGATGCCTCAATGACAGGTCGACCACGCACACCTCTCAGTAGGCCTGTCACCCTTTTATCCTCCCTGGCCTCGTTATCCATAACGAGGACCAGCTGGTGTCCAATCACCACACCCTCAGAGCTCGGCAGCTTCCGTCTTCTGTCTATCACACTCTCCCCCTCTTTGTCCTGAAGGACTCACCCTCGAGTCCTAGATTTCCACCTGATAATCCTTATACCAAGCAGGGGGCTTCCTCTGACGAACCACGCGTTGCTCCACAGCTCTAGGTTCCTCGACCGTCCCAGGGATACGTCCTCCCGATCCTCCTCCAACCACACCCCCTCGAGCAGCCTCTCCATGCAATGGGGCGGGGTTGCTTGAATCACCGGAGCCCTTCGTCTCCGAAAACCGTTGAGCACTCCTGCTGATGTCCTCCCAGGTGGCATCTGGCTGATGAACCACCCGCTGTTCCGCAGCTCCACATCTGTCGATCTCCCCAGGGAGACGTCCTTCCGGTCCTCCTGCAGCAGCACCTCCTCGAGCAACCTCTCCACGTGATGGGGCCGGGTCACTTGCGCCGCCAGACCTGCTCGTCTCTGCAGACCAATGATGAATTCTGCTGGTGTCCTCCCAGGTAGCATCCTGCTGACGCAGACTCCGCCTCGCTCACCCTCGGGACCCCACAGCCAGCGGTGCTGCGACTGCTGAAAGAGAAGTGCACGGCTTAAGTCGGTTGAAATGAATCACCTTCTCAGGACCCCCCTCAACGGGTATAAGCCTGTATAGCACATCCTTCAGTCGCTCCAGAACCCTAAACGGTCCTTTATATCGTCTCTGCAGCTTGGGACACACCCCTCGCCTCCTCAGCTTATTTCGGACCCACACCAATTCACCTTCTGAGTAGAACTGGCAGGTGGCCCTAAAATCATAGGCCCTCTTCTGTAGCGCCACGGCTCTGCTCTGATGGCGTTTCACTGCCTCTACCACCGAAGTTAAGGTTTCCTGCAAACCTGTCACATACTCATCTACCGAGGCAAAGAGTTCTCCCTGATCCAGGCCCAACATAACGTCAACAGGCAGTACAATCTCCCGCCCGAACAGAACCTTATAAGGTGTGACAGATGTGCTAGCATGAACACTACTTCTATAAGCCAACATTACATATGGCAGCAAGGCGTCCCAGTTAAGCTGGTTGTCTTCCACAAAGAAGGTCAACATAGTCAGCAACGTTCGATTAAACCTCTCCACTAATCCGTCTGACTGGGGGTGATAGGGGGTTGTCCTCGTTTTGTGGATCTGCAAGAGTTCACATAGCTCTCGGAACAGTTTTGACTCGAAATTCCTCCCCTGGTCGGAATGGAGGCTCCGCGGTACCCCAAACCGACACACCCATTCCTCGGTCAGCACCCTCGCAATTGTTTTAGCCTCTTGATTAGGGAGTGGGAAGGCTTCTGTCCATTTAGAGAAATAGTCACCTACTACCATGATGTATTTATTTCTCAGTCCAGTTTCAGGAAGTGGACCCAAAATATCCACGGCAATGCACTCGAAGGGCCTAGAGGTCAGTGACTGCTCCAAAGGTGCACGTGGTGTTCCTCCATGCATTTTAACCGAGCCACAGTCCGCACACTCACGAACCCAAGCCCTTACGTCCTTAAACCAATCGGGTCAATAGAAACGGTCTTTTATCTTGCCTTGCAGTTTTTGAACCCCCAGATGGCCTCCTGTGGGGGCATTATGCAACTGCTTCAGGACCCCTGGCACCAGAGCCCGAGGCAAAACAACCTGGATCACCTGCGCAGCATCAGAATTCGCTGGTGCTACCCGCACCAACTGGGAACCCCGAATTTCGAGTTGATCCCACACAGGTGCAAATGGATTTAGTTCTGGGTCATCGGGGCCTATACGCTCTACACCCTGTTTGGCATCCCTGATTCGCTTCAGCACTGGATCATCTAACTGCGCCTGGCTGAGTTCGTCCATCTCTGAAGTCCGGCTAGCTCCTGAGCCTCCCTCTTGAAGCGAGCACACCCTCAACTCAGCTCCCAAGGGCTGCGCTCCCTGGTCAGCTGATAAGTTTTCTGGTTTCCAATTTGGCAGTCTGGAAAGGGCATCTGCGTTACTATGCAGTCTACCTGGCCGATGAATGATTTTGTATTGGAAATTGGCCAGCTGCTCTACCCATCTAGCCAGTTGTCCCTCTAAACCCTGGAAGTTATGCAGCCATCGTAGAGAGTTGTGGTCTGTCCTTAGCACAAATTCTTTACCCAACAAATAATGTTTGAAGTGCTTAGTAAAAGTGACCAGACTCAAGAGCTCCTTCTTTGTCGTGGCATATTTGCGTTCCTGCTTTGTAAGAGCCCTACTAGCATAAGCTATAACCTGCTCTGTTTCCCCTTCAACCTGTGATAATACAGCCCCAATCCCCACCTCGCTAGCGTCTGTATCTAAAATAAACGATTTCTTGGGGTCGGGGTAGGTCAATACAGGAGCAGTTATTAAACAGGTTTTAAGTTTCTCGAAGACCTCCTGACACTCTTCACTCCACTGAAAGCGTTTTCCTCTTTCTTGTAACCGGTGCAATGGGCGAGCAATGTCCGCAAAGCCTTTCACGAACCGTCTATAATAAGACGCCAGGCCCAAAAAACTCTGGACCTCCGTCTGATTAGCTGGGATGGACCACTCTCTTACTGCCCCTATTTTAGCTGGATCTGGTCTAACACCTTCAGCGGAAATCACATGGCCTAGATAATGGACCTGTGTAGAAAAAAGGTCACACTTAGAAGGCTTTACTTTTAGATTAGACTGCCTCAACTTCTCCAAAACCGTGCCCAGACGTGCTAGATGCTCCTGGAAATCACGCCCGAACACGATAATGTCATCCAGGTAAACTAAACAAACAGTCCACTGCAAATCAGCCAGAATCAGGTCCATCAGGCGCTGAAATGTACCAGGGGCGTTGCACAGCCCAAAACTTAGCACATTAAAT